ACTTAAAGAACATAAAATAGTAGTGTCATCACTGAAGATAAAATTCAATTGAAAAATGTATCATTACCCCCTAGGATTCCATATTCAGGAAAAAAAGTAAGTTTCATGGTGTATTTCTATGTCTTTTTTTTTTGGAATAAAGTTGCCATTTTTAGTCATTCTGATAAATAAATTGAAAAATCAAATTGATATAATACTTTTTGAATCAATAAACATGTTCCTCAGAATCTGGCCAAAATATGTAGAGAGAGACAAAATTTTTATTGTAGAATAGTTTATAGTAGCAAAGTTTAGAAAATAGTAGAAAGTGGATGAAAGGACTGGTATATAGTTATGTGGCTCGTAGATCATTTCTATTTTTTTGTTTGTTTGTTTTTTTGAGACAGGGTTTCTCTGTGTAGCTTTGGAGCCTCTCTGGACACTCACTCTGGAGACCAGGCTGAGCCTCAAACTCACAGAGATCCACCTGCCTCTGCCTCCCGAGGGCTGGGATTAAAGGTGTGTGCCACCAACACCCAGCTTAGATTATTTATATTTTATGTGATCCAAATAGTATGCAGAGATGTGCAGAATAAGACCTGACATGTGGTGTGTGTGTGTGTGTGTGTGTGTGTGTGTGTGTGTGTGTGTGTGTGTGTGTGTTTACATAAGCATGGGAAAAGGTACCAAGAGCTGATTTTCTGGGAAATATAAGTGAAGAGAAAAGATATGTAGAAAATACAATGAGTAGGAAAGTTGAATGTAATTTGATGAGTAAGGAACTTCATAGGATATATATTTAATCCCACCAGTTTGTGTGTATCTATGTTGTGTTTGCTGGGAAATAAATATGCATAGATCCATTTACACCGGTGAGTTTGGCTGCTGTTGGAATGCATTACTTAAGAAATAGACATGACAGGTGTGGTGGCACATAGCCTTAAGCCTAGCACCCAGGAAACAGAGACAGGTAGATCTCCATGAGTTTCAGGCCAGCCTGGTCTACACAGAGTTCAAGGACAGCCAGGGCTACTTAGAGAGACCTATCACACACACACACACACACACACACACACACACACACACACACACACACACACACACACACACACACAGAGAGAGAGAGAGAGAGAGAGAGAGAGAGAGAGAGAGAAAGAAATAATAAAACAAAAATAAAAAGAGAAAGAGAAGAGAAAGACTTAGCTTTTCCTTTCCATTGTTCTAGCATTCATTATTGCCCCCCATGAAAGCCAAGAAATAAATGATAGAAATAACATTAAAGTCCCTCTTAGGTCCTGAGTGTTAGTGGACATCTTTAATCCCAGTACTGAGGAGGCAGGTGGATCTCTATTAGGCCAGCCTAGTCTACAGAGTGAGGTGGAAGACATCCAGGGCCACACAGAAAAAAAAAAATTCTGTCTCAAATATGTCTCTGAATATGTCTAGGCGCCTTAACCAAATACTGTCTCTGTGTGGCAGAAGTAGCACTCTGCATGACATTTGCTATTTATCTATAGAATTTAGTGATTCTCATCCTCATTCATTAATGCTCATGTCGAACCATACAGTTTCTAAAAGTGCACTGTTAGAAGAGCCACAAGGCATGGCTCCTGCCCTAGTGTATGAGCAGATTCAGGCCCATGTGATGACCGATACCCAGGGGACAACACTTGCCATGCTACAGGTTGATGATTCAAGCTGGGTTTAAGGCCTTGCAAAACAAAAGAATGGGTCTTAGTTACTATTTGAATGGAGCAAATAGCTTGAAGCTTTGTTTCTTGTTTGGTAGTATGGTTTATAATGAATTCAATTTTGATTTATTGGTATAATTGGAATATCAGGAATATAATTTATTTTAAAAGAAAGGCCACATTCAAGATTTCCAGAGAATATACTGTCTTGTTCTTTAAATATGTGCTTCTTGTTCTTGGAATATCTAAGTGTTGTTGTTCGTGAAATATGTAAGATTTGACATAATGTACCAATTCCTTTGTATGAAGAAATATAATCTTTCTACAAAGTAAAATTTTATGTGAGTCCAATATACTATCGACACAGGATAACAAAATAAACATGTAGACAGATATCTTGTCTTAAAATCAGCTGTTATTTTTCTAACCCTTGCATGTGTAAATTTCTACATTTGTAATCTCTTAGTTGGATAATTTAATGTCATGGCATGACTTAACTTCATCACTAAATAGCAACTGTCATAAAGAACCCTACCTTTTTCTACTAAATGTGGCTGCTTCTTTCATTTGTCAGCAAGCACATTGTGTTGCAATGTATCTGGGTGTGGGTTTTAAATCTCATCCCATTCCATTTTTAAAAACAACATATATTTGTTAAAAGTAATGAAAAGCACACACTATATATTTGTTCATTATATTTTTAAATACCTTCTTAAAATTCTTGTACTGAAGGTTAATTTGTAAAAGGATAATTTTCTGGCCATGGAATATTGAGTTGCCTGCAATCTCACTCTCAAAAGAACTTGAACTTTGTTAATGTGGTGTATTGCTGTCATCTTAAAATTTTCAATAACTTTCTGTTAGAATTTTTATATTTTTAATAAAATCTACTAGAAACATATACTATGGAGTTATCCTATAGAGCAGCAGCAGTATAACACACACACACACACACACACACACACACACACACACACACACACACACAGAGCAGGTATGGGATGCTATGCAGGTGACTCAATTGATGGGGCAGCAAGATGCATATAGACATGAATCAACAATGTGGCATCTTTTGTGTCTCCAACATGGTTAATCCATAAATGGGTCCAGGTTAGTAATAGAAACAGTTGCCCCATAAGCAGGGGCAACAATAGCAGTCACAAGAAAAGCTAAAGGTGCCTATAGGACAGCACTCATAGTGAGAAGCCTACTTACCAATAAACCACAGTATCAGCACAAATATTAGATCTCTCATCTTTGTGCCATGGCTGTGCTGGCAACACTCAGGTAAACCATTACAAAAGTAAAAAAAATTTAATGCAAATTGAAACAGTCACCACTAGAAATTTTCATGTCCAGTTTTGAAATTTTCTGAAACAGCACCAAACAAGTATCCACAAAGTTAGAAAAGCAAGATAATTTTAAAGCATATCAGACTTTATAGAAAATACCATTCTCAGATGAAGCTTCAGATGAACAACTTACTGACAGGAACTGCAATTTGGGTTTAACTTTTCCCATGAACAGAAAATAATAGCATTCATAAATAGATATTTAGAATGGTAAAACAAATTCCTGCAACTACCTCTGGCTTCCTTCGTAACCTTGATAGGTTACAGGAAATGCCAGAGAGAACATTAAAATGCCATTGCATACATTAGCATTAAATTCCACGTAAAGGCAATAGAAGTGATGCAGTGGTAGAATTTTTCCATGTGTTGACTGCTCTGATAAATACATGAACCTACATATGTAATAAAATTTCATGGACCTAGGTGAACAAGCACACAAACGTGGTCGGTGTACTGAATTTATGTCCATTTCTGGTCATGTATTTATGTTTCTTATATTGGTTTGAAGACAGCATTACTAAGGAAGCTGAGTGAAGAATGCTTGGACTCCCTGCTTGTTGGCACCTCTATGTAACTGTAGCCATCTCAAAATACAAAGTGCAATTAAAAATTCCAACTCAGACAAGCATGAGACTGATTTCTATGGTGTTAAGTTTTAATAAAAATTATTCAGTATGAATCATCAACAACAGATGTACCAAAATTTACATTGTAAAGTGATGTATTAAAAATCCATCCTAGTTGTTCTCACAGCCTAGGAAACATTTTTAATAGCTCCAGGAACAGTTGTTATCAACCAAAAAAATCTTTCTTTTCAAAATTAAAAAACTACCGAAGTGCATTTGTGATCTTGCATTAGCCAAGAGCAACTGATGTCACTGTAACTGTTATCCTTGAGACTGAACTAAAAATTGTATAAATTATGCTAGCCTAATAAACAGTTTGCAAAAGAGCACTAAAATTATTCAACCAAGATTAACTTATAATTATTCATTGTATGTCGTATCACTGTGACACTATCATTTTTGTAGTTTGCAAGGTTTTAAGTTATTCATCTGTTACTATTTCCTTATTTTATTAGTAATAAAATAGTGTAAAAGAAAAGTCTTCATATTTTATTATCTTTAGCATGTTTCTCTTGGGTTTGAACTAATGTCCCACCATTTGGATTTTGTAGTTGTCCCCATAAATAATTAAGGAGGTGGACAAACTTTGAAACGCACTTGAATGTAAGATGGTCATTGTGGCTCACACTTATACTGAGCACTGTGTTATATAGCAAGACCCGTCTCAGAATAACAAAACATACAAACAAGGTGCTTAAAATTTTTGCAAGGGAAAACATAGTTAACAAGCTTTCTTTTCTGTAAAATTGATGAGATCAAAATAAAATTTTGAAATGACATCAGATATTTGCAAGTCATAATTAACACAAGCCAGCTTTGGGTTTTATTTTTTAGAATGCCATCCAAGTTATGACTGTATTTCCAAAACATGTTTGTTTTTCATTTATTAACCACAGGAATGCTAATAAGCCCGTCAATCTATGTTCATAAAACCTGAAGTATATAGTATTGACGAAAGTTCCTATATTGGGATGCATATGCTTTGCCCCAGCTGCTGCATGTCACAGACTGCATACACAATTACTAGAGAAATGTGATTGCCTTGAAATGTTAAATGAAACTCATCACTTATTCTTAACAGTGTTATTATGACACTTGAACAGTTTTTCCAACTGGAATTTTAATTTTATAAAACAGAAAACTTAATGCTGACTGGGAGTGCATGAACTAAAAGTGATGCTATTTCTGTTGTATCTTAATGGACCAGATTTGAACATCATTGAGTCATTTGCTTAGTATAAAGTAGGAAGTTATGTATTGTAATTGTCCAGTGCTTCAGTGGCTAAGTTGCACTTGTTTTTCCTTTTATTATCCTATTGGCTCAGTTCATTTTCTTTCCTCTCATGTTTCAGAATGATTCTTGGGGAAAGCAATATTCCTACGCACTCTTCAAAGCTATGAGTCACATGTTGTGCATTGGCTATGGTGCCCAAGCGCCCGTCAGCATGTCTGACCTCTGGATTACCATGCTAAGTATGATTGTTGGAGCCACCTGCTATGCAATGTTTGTTGGCCATGCCACAGCTTTGATTCAGTCTTTGGATTCTTCAAGGAGGCAGTATCAAGAAAAGGTATGTGGTTTTCTCTCTCATATCTTCAACCAGCTTCTTCAGAAAAAAAAATTGAATTGTGTTCAAGCTACAAAATAATATCCCTCCCTCAAACCTGTGAGGAGCTGAAATATTTAAAGGAAACATAATCTGTTTTGATATTTTCAGATTCCCATCAAGATAATTTGAAGAGAATTTGTTTTTTTTTCTGTCTTGAATTATAAATATATATATATATATATATATATATATGCAATCCTATCTTTAATCCCCAGTATGGCATATACCAGGCATGGTGCAATTAAGTTGACAACATTTGAGTGTTGGAGTCATGAAAATTAGGAATTCAAGGTGTCATGCTTGGCCATATAGTGGGCTTGAGGTTAGCCTAGTCTAAAATTTTTAGATATATAAATTTTCATTCCTTAAAATATAGTTATGTCTCCAAAATGTATAAAGAAGATAGACAAGGTTGTTCCATAGTTTGTGTTCTGTATTCCAAGAGTTAAAATTCAATTACTGAAATAACAATATAATATTAATCCCTCACTAATTCCTGCTAGAAGAAATGAAAACCTGCAGAAAAGGACAGACAACCATTGCCCTTCTGTCTATCTGTGTCTTTCTGTATGTTATGATAGTAATATACATTGTAATCCACACACTAACTAACTAATCATAGGCTGCTCTTATCTCTACAAAACTCATCACATTTCCCAGAGTTTTTGTTTGTTTGTATCTTTGTTTTTGTTTTTGTTTTTGAGACAAAGTTCCATCTCATGAAATGGGCCTTACGTAAAATTATATATTGGTTGGTTACTCTCACAGGTTTTGTGCCACCATTGCTCTAGCATATTTTGCAGGTAGTACACCATTGTATATAAAGAGTTTCTGGCTGGCTTGGGGGTTATACTCCTCTTTTGACAGTATGTAGAGTACCTTCCTGTAACAAAGTCATTGGGACGAGGTGTTTGCATCTTGACAAAGAACATTTCTGAAAGCCTTAATGCTTAAGGGCTTATAGAATAAGTGTTACAGTTACCAGGGCAGATTCAATTATTTCAAAACAGATCAATGTCACTCCAGTTATTGCTATATATACTGGAAGTCTTTGATGCCGGCTAAACAACAAGTCTTTGCCATTATAATCCTGTAATGGAAGAAAGGAAAAGATGTGTGATTTTGCTCAAATATAACTACAATATCACCAACAAACATAATCAGGATGTTGATACTTTTTTGATGAAATCATGAAAGGTAAACTGTCAAGATTGCCTTGAGGTTTATTTTTAAGAAAAAATTAATTGTAAAGAACAGATAGAACAGTAAAGGAGAAGAGACCATACAAAGCTGTTTGACTGAAAATCCTATACAAATTGAGTGCAGGCTTATTTTATGGCTATATAAGGCTATAACATCATATTGTGGTTTTTGTTCCTATACTGTATATTTTCCCTTGTTGCTTTAAATAAAAATGTTGAGTTTTTTATCACTTTGTCTGCTGCTACATGTTTTTATTTTGTTCATGTAAATGTTTTACTTACATATTATAAATATATTTACATATTTACATGTTATACTTACACATTTATTACATATTTTAAATAATATATAATGTTAATAATAAATAATAACATATAATATTTAAATAGATATTTCCTTAAAAACAAATAAATCTTCATGATTACATTTTTAGCCAAATGAAATTGTGTGTGTGTGTGTGTGTGTGTGTGTGTGTGTGTGTGTAGACAGGGCTACCCTCTGTAGAGGCTGGCCTTAAATTCACAAAAAAATACTGCCTTAACATTCTGAGTATTGTGTATCAATTTTGTTGTATAAAATTAGACTTTATGTAGTATCAATTAGTCAAGAACAGGGAATTAAAAAACTTATTCCAAGGAACAAAATGTTCAAATTTTATACATCTTGAATACTTTATATAATTTCTTTTGTGTAATTAATGTAAAAAAGTGTAATTAGTGTAAAAAAAACTTCAATTTTCAAGTAGGTATAAAATTATGTATTTTTAATCATCCTAATATTTATAATTTATCTGAATTATTGGTAGCACTGAGATAAAAGGTTGGTAATCAAAGCTGCTCTGCTATTCAACCTATTCACATCTCATTCTAAAGCAAAGTAACTTTTTGTTAATTTACAATAAAGTAACTAGAGAGTCATTGGTTTACCCAGGGAAGAGAACATCAGTTGTCTATCCAGTAACAAAAGGTCAGCCTGAAATGCATACACATGTAACAGTATTATACAAATTGAGCAGGTTATATTTAAGAATATATGTGTATACATATGTTCACATATATAATGTATACATATAACAATAGTTAATGAAAATTGGCCACAAATTTGAAATAGAACAAAGAAGGGTATATGAGAGAATATGGAGAGGTGAAAGGGGAGGGAGAAATGATGTAATTATAACTTCACAATAAAAGAAAAACAACATAAAATAAAGCAATTGTGACTTTGCACGTGCTTTTGATAATATGCCTATTGAGAGGAATTTAGTTGAAAAAAATAGTGCAGGCTCAGCTTTTAAAATCCTAAGTCTCTTTTAGCCAAATCTCTTTTTCAAGCAGCAAACCATTATTTTCTCTTTAAAATAATCATAGATTTCCCCCTGCCACATCCTCCACTCTGCCTACTCTCTTGCTGTAGACATCCTGAGATGTACCTAGGTTTTAATTCTATTTGACAACTCTAGGGCTCCCTCCAGATCATGCCAAACTTTAATACACCCTCTGTATCCAAGGAAATCCTTACACTGTGATAGGAAGACCCTTTACCCCAAACACGGAAACATCAACATTGTGAATCTGAGGCTACCAAAGTTCTCATGTGAGGCAGTGAGAAAGGCATATGTATAGTGCTGTTCCCCCTTACTCTAACATATAGTTTTTTTTTTCTGGAAAAGGTGTGATTGAACTTTTCCAATGTCACTACCTTCCAAAAATTGAATTATGTTGTTTTACATGTATCTAAATGTATTGTTTCATCAATGTTTTAATTATCCATATTTATTGTATATTTAATTTATATATTTTGTAGTCTCACTCTGATGCTCAGACTGACCTGGAACGACCGAGATTAATCATTTTTCTGGTCTCAGCCTCCCTCGTACCTTGGAGTAAAAGCTAGTACTACCATATATGGGTATTTATTTATGTATCCTCCCTTTGCCTGAAGGCAGATAACATTCTAGAAAATAAGATTTTTAATCTTTTTTTCTTTATGTAATTCTGAGATTGCTCATTTATTCCCAGAATTGAAAGAAGCATTGTCAATGTGACTGCCATCAGGGTTGAGACAATTTTGTAATTACTGAGTTGATATGCAATATATTCTGCTTTGAGGCCCAATGGAACACCCTGCCTCAGGAAGATCCAAAATTTGTCTTCAAAACATTAATGATAAATAATCATCAATTCCATAATGAAACAACACTATAGAAGTAAAGAATTCATAAAATAAGCAGCAACCTTTTGTAACACTGCCCATGATCCCTTCAAATCATGTTGCTATCTAGCTAAGATGGAAAAGGAAATGTTAACATTCTCCCTTACAGATCTTCTTTATAACAAAAAAATGAATAAGTTTATCTGCTGCTATGATAGTGTCTTAGTGAGGGTTTCTACCGCTGTGAAGAGACACCATGACCATCATGGTGGGAAGCATGGTGCACACAGGCAGATATGCTGCTGGAGAAGTAGCAGAGAGTTCTACATCTAGACTGGCAGGAAGCAGAAGAGAGAGTGATAGTGGGCCTGGCTTGAGTGAAACCTCAAAGCCTCCCTCCAGTGACACATTTCCTCCAACAAGGCCATGCCTCCTAATAGTGCCACTCTTTATGAGCCTATGGGGGGCATTTTTATTCAAACCACCACGCATAATATTTCTCTTCAGAACTATTGCTTTGAAGGTATGATGCTCTTGAGCTTTGACAAATAAAGGTCAGCCACTGCTTACATGAGTTATGGCTGACACTTAATTTTGCTTAGGATCCTTATTAAGGGGCAGAAATATCACTGAGATTCATTGCTTTCAAAAATAAATCCCTTTCACTTGGTTTCTTTCATAACTGGAAAACATTTTCTTCCTTCCTTTACAAATGAGGGTGATAAGAACACGAATCCCTGTGGTTCCTTAATTAACCCAGAACATTTCCTTGAAGTTAAACTGTCTACTTTCTCTCTGGAGAACTGAATTTAATATATTCTGGTATGTTAAATTGGTTGTACTTCAAATACTCTCAGGCTGGGAATATCATAAGTCTCTGACTCTTAAGTAAGATACTTGTACAGGAAAACTGCGGTGTGCTAACCTTGTGCCAGTCATTTTTTCTCATTATTTCTTTCATTTTTTTGAGATTATAATTATATCATTCCCATCTTCTTTTTCCCTCCAAACTCTCCCATATAGTCCTCCTTGCTCTCCTTCAAATTCATGACCTTTTTCCCACTATTTTGATATTTATCCCTAAATATATAAGTTCAACATTCTCAGTCCATATGAGAACACCAACTGGGTATCTAATACCAAATAGTTAGCTGTAAAAACATATGTACAAGTAACATTATATAAAAGGGGACTGGTTTAATGTGGTTACTTGAACTGCTATGAATTGGGCTTCTGGGAGCATAGCTAGAAGAATGATATTTTGCATTCTCACCAGAATAAAAGAATATTTTATGCCGTTATACAGTCTGAAATAAGTAAAGATTTGAATCAGCCAACCTAACCAAAGAGAAAAACAGTTCATTCAGTTGCAAATTCATTTTATAAGTGATTTTAGAATGCAGTATATAAATATATATCAATATATATTATATATATATATATATATATATATATATATTATAAAATATACACAGTTCTCCTTTTTCTCCTTTTTCATCAATGACAGTTTCTGCTCTAGTACTCTGTATCCCATGTTAAATTTCCCCATATGTATGTTTGTATCTATAGTTGCAGAAAAACACAAAGTGGTAGATTTATCCTCATTA